CATGGGGCAGCAGCAATAGCGGGGGGCCCGGGGGGGACCTGGGCAGGGCCCCCCCACTCACTCGTCCCCTCCTCCGTCACCATGCCCAGCCCCTCCGCCTTGTTCTGCCGCTCGAAGGCGTTGAGGTCCAGGACGCTGCGGGGACACGGCGGCGTCAAGATGGGGCCCCCCAAAACCCTTCCAGGACCTCCCCGGCTGGGCCCGGCCCCTCCCTGGGGGTCCTGAAGCTCTTGGGGACCCCCCCATGGGGGACACCCCAATGCCCTGAACCCATGGGGGGACCTCAATACCCGGGGGGGACCCCGGTACCCAGGGGGGGACCCCAACCCATGCGTCACCTGCAGGTCTGCATCAGGGCCTGGACGCTCTGGAAGAACCCAACCTCCCGCTTCTCCTTCAGGTAGTCCAGCATTTTCTGGGGGGGGACAGATGGGCGTGGCCACCGGCACGGGGACATGGCCACTGGCACAGGGACACAGCCACCAGCACAGGGACACAGCCACCCAGACATGGCCACTGGCATGGGGGCACAGGCACCGGTGCGGGGACATGGCCACCGGCATGGGGACAAGGCCACTGGCACAGGGACACAGCCACCAGCACGGGGACATGGCCACCGGCATGGGGACACGGGCACCCAGACATGGCCACTGGCACGGGGACACAGGCACCGGTGTGGGGACATGGCCACCGGCACGGGGGCATGGGCACCCGGACATGGCCACTACCATGGGGACACAGGCACTGGTGCGGGGACATGGGGACATGGGCACCCGGACATGGCCACTGGCATGGGGGACACAGGCACCGGTACGTGGACACGGCCACCGGCATGGGGACACAGGCACTGGTGCGGGGACATGGCCACCGGCATGGACACACGGCCACCAGCATGGGGACACAGGCACCCGGACGTGGCCGCTGGCATGGGGACAGACACTCGTGCAGACACACGGACATGTGACACACGTGCTGGGATGGGCGCCCCCATGCACGCTCCCAATGATGCAGCCCCATGCACGGACACGGGGACAGACGGACACGGGGACAGACGGATGCCCTCCTACCTGCTGCACCTCGGCGTTGCCCCCGTTGAGGATGGAGATGCCCAACTTGAGGGTGGAGGACACCATGTCGCCCCGCTCCCCTGCCGAGGCCGCGCACCGTCACCGCAGCCCCGTGCGAGGCGGGGGGCTCACCGAGGACCCCCCGTGCGAGGTGGGGGGCTCACTGAGGACCCCCCCCATGTGAGGGGCTCCCCGGGGGTCTCACCCTTGCAGGCGCTGATCATCTGCAGCACCATCTCGGCCGCCCCCCGCGTGTGCAGCCGGGCTTGCTGGTACAGCAGCTTCTGCTTCTCC